AGATCATGACATGAGCTGAAGTCAGATGCTTAACCAACCAAACCACCCAGGCTTCTCCTTCCCCCTTTTTTTCTGTAGGCTTCAGGCCCAGCGCAGGGCTTAAACTCACCACCCTGAGATTAAGACCTGAGCTGAGATCAAGAGTTGGAAGTTAACCAACTGAGCCACTCAGGTGCCCCCAGATTCTTGAATAAAAACCCCTCTATACATGGGAGCCATTCTTATGGAGGCCAGACTCCCGTTGCTTAGGATATGTGGCTGTTTCTTGGTCTAGCAGAAGGGAAAGCAAAAGATGGGAATTGCACTGCATGTGCCCTTTTTAAGCTCCTGTGTATGAGAGTCTGTGCTGGGGGTCAAGAGGGATTTAGGATGAATGGGACCTGCCCTCATGGAGCCCACAGTCTGAGTAGAGAGACAGGCAGGACACCCACTCACCCACTAACTGCAGATATAGCCACATGAAAATTCTCCTCGGATATCTGGTCTACCAAAGAGCTGATAGAGGGCAGAGAGGAATGACCAATTGCAATTCATAGGGTTGAAAAAGACATTCTGTATTTGATGAATGGAAGTAAAGCTGCCAGCAGAAGGTCAGATTCATAGTAGGAGCTCCATAACCTTGACTCACATCTAGGATCCTTTTGACATTGAGAATTTTGTGTCTCAGCACTAGTGCAGAGACTGGCTTGTAGACTTTTGATGAGTTATAACTACAATTATCTGCAAAATGAAAGGCAAAAAGCGAAGGGTCTATTTGTAGCTCAATTACCAAACACTGGGAGGATCTGCCTGCTATCATCTGGATTGGCTGTCCTTCTGCCAGAGAAGGGTGTACAGTTGCCTGCTATCCATCTCACTTGGCTCTGATGGCCATGACATCCCAATCCCAGATACTGGACGACGAGGGTCCTGCAGTGGGGGGAGTTTACCTATCCAGGAAGGATCCGGAACACAAGTGGCAGCTCTTGTACCAACCCCTACAGCCTTTGCTGCCATGTTCACTGTATTCCAGTGACCTCCAGAAGGGACTGTATTGAAGGATGGGCTCCTGCAGGGAGACATCTTGGCAAGGGAAGATGTCTCTCCCGTGTACAGGGAAGAGAACGCAGTATGGTGCCTGGAGGGTGGGAATCCTAGAGTGTGCAAGGGGGTGGAAAGGAAAATGGGCTGGGAAAATGTTGGAATGTTAGAGCCCAAGTTCAGGACCACCATGTGAAGCTGTGCAAGCCTGCGTGAGCCATCTTCACTTTGAGATTCAGGGGAGCACTTGCAGCCCGCACCCTGGGAATTCTCCCCAACCCTCCCACACAGCAGCAGGAAAGATGCAACACTCGTTTGCTGCCCGTCTGCTGCCAGTGAGGAGGCTCCCACTCTAGCTGGGGAGCCCTGCCAGAACACGGAACCGTGGATAGGTGTGTGGGAGTGGGGGGAGGTGGGGAGGACCCTCGGCCCTCCCCTATTAAGGTGGGGAGGGGGTAGCTGTTTAAGGAGGAGAGAAGGCGGGGGAGGGTGACAGAGCTAAAGCAAAGTCACTGTTTTATCTAGCTGGCTTGCTCTCAGGACAGGCCGTGATTTGTAAGCTCTGGGGTGTGTGTGTGTGTGTGTGTGTGTGTGTGTGTGTGTGTGAGTGAGAGAGAGAGAGAGAGAGAAATAGAGAAAGAGGGAGGGAGAGAAGTCATGAGAAAGTAACTTAGCAAAGCTGGCGATACATATCTTCAGTAACTTTTCACTAATCAAAAGTAATTTAATTCATTTCACAAATGTGAAAGGTAATTTACTTATAAATTAGATTGTTGGCGCTTTCTGTTGGTTTGTTTAGAAGATATGAGGGAATGGAAACATTTACTGGGACAATTAGGCTTTCTCCTCTGTTCCTCACCAAGGAGAAAACAAATCCTTAGAGATGAAGGTTCTTTTCTCCTCACTCTCTACTCATCCCACGACTTCTCACACTGCAATTGTTTTCTCTCCTGCCCTTGATCTCCTCCTTGCTGCCAGTTTACCCTGTGGAATCATCGACTCAGTCGGTCAGCCAGTCATTTAGTCGGTCTACACACATATATGCCAGGTGCTGGTGTCTATGGGTGGACGCCATTAAATAAGCAGATTATAGCTTTCATTTAGTCTAAGGAAGAGTTTTCCAACAGTTAGTTCACTCCTAAAAGGGGTTCGCCCTCCATGAGGGAAATGTCTGACTGCTTGAGCCAGGAAGAGATGCTTCTGGAGAATTCTTGTGTCATGCAGGGCTAGGCTAAGATGATACCTGAGATTTCTCCCAATGCTGAGAGGCCATGATTTTCCTGTGATAATTAAAAAAAATTTTTTTTTAACATTTATTCATTTTTGAGAGACAGAGAGAGCTAGTGTGTGAGCAGGAGAGCAGCAGAGAGAGAGGGAGACACAGAATCTGAAGCAGGGTCCAGGCTCTGAGTTATCAGCACAGAGCTGGACGTGGGGCTCGAACTCATGAATTGCGAGATCATGACCTGAGCTGAAATCGGAGGCTTAACTGACTGAGTTAAGGAGCCCCACTTGTAATCATTTTTAATGGAACTGAATGGACACCAGGGAAAGACTATGGTCCCTAACTTGGATTTCCCCCCTCAACTCCAAAGTGATCAAGGCAACAAAGTAAACGTTCACACTGATCTCTGTTCTCTCTCCAGCATTGGATGACTTACGATCTGTCTAGACTGAGCTGAAGGGGTGAGGAAAAGGGCAACGTGAATTCTCTAGAGTGGAAACACCATGGAGAGGAGACAGGGCCTGTGATGACCCCTGTGATGCCCAGGCCGCGGCTCGATTCACCCCTCTCCCGCCAAAAAAAGGCACGGGTCCTCCTCGACCAGAATGAAAGATAACAATGGAAAAATGAAGGACTGGATAAAAAGACAGAGAACCGAAAACAAGCAGTTTTCTGACTGGAGATCTGGCAGCTTCTCCAAATCACACCGGGCAGAGTGAAGCGGGGTTTCACTTCTGGCCACCTCGATTCGCTCTACCAGGCACGTTTTGTGCATTCCCACTGCATGAGCCTGCACTTTGGGGACTGGAAGACTGAGCTCCACGACTCTTCCCCGAGCAAATAAACCTTCTGCCTGCCCGTCCTGAATCCCGCGGGCCCGTGCAGGAGGGCTTCCTCCCGGGAGCCCTAGATGCCTTCCCTGGGCCGGGTTACCATTCCCATCACAAAAGGATGCCGGCCATAAATCTCCATGATCAATGCTGGGAATCATAAGCTGTGATTTTAATAATCCTCCCAAAGATGGAGAAATTCTTGGTGGAACCCACCCTTCTCTTGACTCTCTTCACGAATTAAGTATAAGTCTGCATCTCTCCCTTTTCCTCCGTCGCAGTGCTGTTCTGTAAAACTGCAGTTAATCAGGGAAAATTGGCAATGGAAGTGTCTGTCAGAAAGACTGTTCTTACAACTGAGCCCTGCCTGGTGTAGGAGATGAGGTCATTTCTTAAGCTTCTGGTATCCAGGGAGGGGGAAAAAAAGAGCAATAAAACGGGTCCGTTAATAAAGGTGTGAGAGTCTCTGGGTATTTTCTGTTAGTAAAGAGACCTCAAGGAAGGTTAATTCTGGGCTGAGAGCAAACCTTTGTCGAGGATTTCATTTTAGAAGGTTCAAAAGACACCAGAGAGAGAGTGAGAACAAGAGGCAGGAAGAGGCCTGCACAGAAAGAGGGAGAGAGATGAAGGGAGGGAGAAGGCAGGAGAGCCTGGCCTTGCTGAGATGTCACAGGAGAGAGTCATACAGCCTCCAGCAGTCTGATCATGGTGGAAATGTCTGTTAAGAGTTGATGCAATGGAAGAGAGAAATTTCTGAAAAAATTTTTTTAAAGATGTGCTTTTGTTCCTGATGCTCTGTTCACCTGGAATGCCCTATTCCTGTCCAGCTTTAGCCTCTCTATTCTAAAAGGGGCTCAGTTCCAATGCCTCCTCCTCCATGAAGACTTCCTTGGTATCTGTAGTTACATGTACAATTGCTTCATTTTCTGCAGGTCGCTAGCAATTTTTTCCGTTGATTTTTTTTTAATATCTAGTCATGGTAAAATACACATAACATAAATCTTACCATCTTAAACATTTTTAAGTGTACAGTTCAATACTGTTAAGTGTATTAAATTGTTGTGCAACCAATCTCCAGGACTTTTTCATCTTGCAAAACCGGTACTGTACCCATTAAACATCAGCTCCCCATTCTAATGACCACCACCATTCTACTTTTCATCTCAACGAATTTGACTACTTTAGGTACCTCATACAAGTGAAACCACACAGTATCCGTCTTTCTGCAATGGCTTATTTCACTTAGAATAATGTCCTTAAGGATCATTCAAACTAATTGCATATATCAGAATTTCCTTCATTTTAAAGGAATCCTAACTTGATTCTATTTTTCTAAAAAAATTTTTTAATGTTTTATTTATTTCTGAGAGAGAGAGAGAAAGAGAGAGACCCTCCTCTGAGCAGGGGAGGGTCAGAGAGAGAGAGGGAGACACAGAATCTGAAACAGGCTCCAGGTTCTGAGCTGGCTGTCAGCACAGAGCCTGACGCGGGGCTCAAACCCACGAGCCGTGAGATCATGACCTGAGTCAAAGTCAGGCGCTTAACCAACTGAGCCACCCAGGTGCCCCTTGATTCTATTTTTCTAATGGCATTTATAACATGGGGTCTTATTTTTAAGCAGCATTCGCACACTATATCTCTCTTAAAGAATTCTAGATCTTTTGAGGACAGGGTCTGAGTCTCCACACTTTTGAGTCCCACTGTACCTATTAGCCCAGTGGTTGGCAGAGAATTTGTGCTAATTTGTTGAGAAGGTCAAAGGACAAATGCTTGAGTGGGCTTTTTGTCTTGAGTGGGCTCTTCTAGAGCTCCTGGTTTCTCTAGAACCACACCCCCCAAAAGATTCAGCAGATGTTTAAATCAATCCACATCATCAAGTTGAGGTGAGCAGAAAGAGACTGGCAACCATTTGAGGTTGATCTTACCCCACAGACTTGAATCAGTCCTGTGTCTTCTCATGGCTTGAGTCTTCTTCTTCCTTTGAGGAGACACCTCCTTTGGGACAGGACGGTGGGTCCAATCTTAAAAGAATAGACAGTGGGAGTAAGAAAGAGTAAGGAGAGCAGGGGATGGTTCACATAAGAATGGAAACTGATAATTAGATTTAGATTTTCCATCCTGCTAAGTCTCTGGTGTGTCATCACTTTTAATAAGTATCTTCTGATAAAGATGGAGTGGTAATGGGGGGTCGAGGACTGGGGCGGGGTAATGTTAATAATCACACTAAGCATTCTTTCCTGCCCTCTCCCCCAGGTTGTCACTATAGAAGACTGCTTTTTTCACAGCTCAGGAACAGTAAGAGAAGCCTTGCTACGATTTGGGAGCTTGGCGAACTAAATGCAACTTTATGTTTGGTCTGTAATAGCTATTTTTAGAGTTGCTTTAGTTAGCTTGTCTTATAGCCCTGCCTTTCTCTTTGTCCTTCCACAATCATTTGTAAGAGGGGATCATAGGACAAACACAGGCATCAAGTCAAGCAGTCTTGGGTTCTACTGGTGGTATAACCCGGGGCAGGCCAATTCACCTCACTGAACCTCAGTTTCCTTATCTGTACAATGGGGGGAAATACCCCTAACTCCCCAGTCTTTCCTGATGATTCAATAAGGCCATGAATATTAACTGCCAGGTCTGGCCTACAGCAGTTGGATAATACATGTGAGTTTCCTTCCCTTTTCCTGAGTTAACCTGATGTCCCTCTTTTCCAGGCTGTGGCTGAATTGGATTCATTTGGATCCTCGACTCCACATAAGCCACAGTCACTGTACTGGCTTTGTCTCTTCCTTAGCAGTCCATGACCTCCAAGGAAACCCTGTGGCAGTTCATCTTTCTGAGATGGCTAGACTCATTAGAGAAGAATATTTCCGGTGTGGAATAAGGCTCTGCTCAGGCCTAATAGAATCTTGTTGGGAGATGGAATTTTCAAACCTACAAGGGAAATCATGGGAGAACAAACCACCATGGTTCAATTTATTTCCCAAATGATTTATCTCCATAGTAGGCAGGAGACTCTGTGTTTGTACATTGCTATTGGAGCCTACCTACAGAAGAGCCTTTATTTTTCTGATCCACATCACCTTTATTAACAAAGCCTAGTCCTAAGGGTCAGCAAACGGGTAGGTGAGTGCTTGGCCAGCCCAGAACAAGCAGAAATATGAAAGCATTTTCTCCAAGAGTCTAACAGAGCCGGTCCCCTCAATGACCCAGAATGCCAAAACCAATAGCCTGTTTTTATTTATTTATTTTTAAATGTTTTATTATTATTTTTGAGAGAAAGAGAGAGAGAGAGAGTGCACACACACATACACAAGTGGGGTAGAGAGACAGGGAGACAGAATCAAAAGCAGGCTCCAGGCTCTGAGCTGTCAGCACAGAGCCTGACACAGGGCTCAAACTCATGAACCATGAGATCATGACCTGAGCCCAAGTCAGATACTTAACTGACTGAGCCACCCAAGTGCCCCTCAACAGCTTGCTTTTGAGAAAAAGAACACGGGATGTGTTTGAGTTACCTTGTCCCTTCTCATTCAAGTGTCATTGTATTTATCTGGAGCACAAAATAGCTGTATTTTGTCACTTTCTTCCATCAAACTCTTCCCCCTTGCACTTCAGAGAAGAAAACAACTACTTCTTACAAGGTGGCAGTTAATCAAGGCTTCACGGAAGTACCATTTGAGTCTGGCCTTAAAAGATGGGTAGGATTGGAAACATGACTTTCTGGCATAAAGAACAGCAGCAACAAAACACAGAAGTGGAAACTTGTAGTGGCATTACTGGAGAATGATTTGGAAAATAAGATATACGGTAGGAATTATAAAAACTAGGTAATGTTAAACACTGTGGTAGACATTTCCTAAGATGGCCTTTAGTCTCTGCCTTCTGATCTTTCTGCTCTGTGTAACTTCTCTCTTTGAGCATGGATTGGACCTACTGACCTAATGAATAGAGTAAGTAGAATATATCTGAAGTAATAGGGTACCCTTCTGAGATTAGACTATTCAAAGACCGTGGCTTCTTTCTTAAACACTTTCTTTCTTGCTGTTGCTTTCTCTTGGATTGGGTGCCCTGTAGAAAGCCAGCTGCTATGTCATGAGACAGCCCATGTAGAGGACCACACACTGAGGGCCTGACGCCTGCTAACGACCATGTCAGTGAGCTTGGGTGTATCCCTTCCCTGCTACAGCCCAGCCTGCAGATGAGACCTCTTTGCCAACTGCTTGAGTGCAATCTCTTGAGAAACCTTGAAGCAGAAGCATCCAGCTAACCTGTGCCGAGTTTCTTGACCCACTGCAGCTGTAGATAGAAAATGTTTATTGTGGGGCACCTGGAGCGTTCAGCCACTTGAACATCCGACTTCAGCTCAGATCATGATCTCACAGTCCATGGGTTCAAGCTCCACGTCGGGCTTTGTGCTGACAGGTCAGAGCCTAGAGCCTGCTTCGGATTCTGTGTCTCCTTCTCTCTCTGCCCCTCCCCCTGGTAGCACTTTGTCTGTCTCTCTCAAAAATAAATAAACATTAAAAAAAATAATAAAATAAGGAAAATGTTTGTTGTTTAAAGTCACTAAATCTAGGGGTGCCTGGGTGGCTCAGTCGGTTGAGCAATCGACTTCGGCTCAGGGCATGATCTCGCAGTTCGTGGGTTCGAGCCCCGTGTCGGGCTCTGTGCTGACAGCCAGCTCAGAGCCTGGAGCCTGTTGTGGATTATGTGTTTCCCTCTCTCTCTGACCCTCCCCTGCTCATGCTTGCTCGCTCGCTCTCTCTCTCGCTCTCTCAGAAATAAATAAAAAAAACACTAAAAAAAAATTTAAAAAAGTCACTGAGTCCGGGGGTAATTTGTTATGCAGCAACAGATAACCAATACAAGCACTTACTCTAATGTACCAGATGCTGTGACAGGTACTTCATATGTCTAACATCATTTAATCAACATTAGGTGGGTATCCTTGTCCCAATTTTTTCAGGTGAGAAAACCAAGGCTTAGACATCTCCCCAATACCTGTTATACATCTAATAAATACACAAGCTGAGCTTCAAATCCAGGCTGCCTTATTGCTGGGCGTGTGCTCTTAACTGGGACATTCTATCTTCTACAATTTGGTTCACTCCTAGTGCCCCTCTTATCAGCTCCATGTCCCCCAAGTTCTGTTGGCAACATGGTCCTCATGTCTCAGCATAGCCTGGAAGGAAACTTGGGAATTTCTCTGAAGTTCTTTTGAACAGAATCTCACTATGTTCAATTCCCTTTGACAGGCTGTGCCATCAACTTGCAGCTCCATCCATTCTGACAGGAGTGATCCTTCCTCCCCAGTCCCCAGGACCCCATCTTCTTCTTCCTTATCTCCTTGCCACTCTTCGCCCTGGGCACTACCTGTGTTTTGTGAGTCAAGGCTTATGGGGCTACCCATGGGTGGGGTTGTGGGCTTTCTCTTGCCCTGGGCTGGAGGTTGTTTCCTGGGAGACCACATCATATTCTTCAGGACTCAACAAATACAACTTTTCCACTTACTTCTATCACAGGACTAGGAGGACCCAGAGAGTCCTGCTCCAGGAGATGGAGAACCCTAACTCTGCGGCTCCTTCTCTGGTCTCTGATAAAAAAAAAAGTGGAAACTCTGCCCAGTCTAACTCAGCTTCCTCCACGGTTTCATTGGACACTGGTTTATTTCAGGGTATTCCTGGGAGATTTACACTCAACACTTCTTTTTTTTTATTTATTTCTAGGAGAGAGAGAGACAGCGTGAGCAGGGGAGGGTCAGAGAGAGAGGGAGACACAGACTCTGAAACAGGCTCCAGGCTCTGAGCTGGCAGTCAGCACAGAGCCCGACGCGGGGCTCGAACCCACGAACTGCAAGATCATGACCTAAGCGAAAGTTGGACGCTCAACCGACTAAGCCACCCAGGCGCCCCTACACTCAACACTTCTTGTCAGTCACATGCGGTGGTCCTTCCCTGGGCCTCTGTAGGGGAGGCAGGGGTGCAGATGTGTGGGCTGCCCCATGCTGGGTCCTGACCAACCACCATATTCCTTCTCGTCACAGGATCTATTGCCAACTTAGTGAGATCTTTGACACACTGTCTGAGTCTCAAGAAGTCCGTAGATGAATGGTTATCTTTGGCTAATATTAAAAACAAACAAACTAATCAAACAGGAACTTAAGAGTTAGAAATGACCTTTCATGGTTGATAAGACAGTCTCTACTGTTGACCTAATCCTACATTTTGCTATATACTGTGTGTATAAGTTCATAAGCACGAAGGAAGTCACTGCCAGAAAATGAGCTCCAACCCCCTGGACTTTATACCCTAGTTCCCTGTTAATCCTTGATGGAAAAGAGCAGGGCCCTATGCTTCAAAAGAACTTGTAATGGGTAAAGTCCAAAGGCAATCTCTCCCTGGTGGCGGGAGAACCGGGCTCTTGTTAGCTCCACCACCTGCTCTCTGGAGGATCCTGGGGGTTCACCTCACCTCTGTGAACCTGTTTCCTTGTATGTCACACCAGGAGGGTGGGGCAGGCCACCTCTAAGAACTCTTCTAGTCTTGACTCTGCTTTTATGGACTGGCCTAGGAACAGGGCACCCCTTCCCACTCCCTTTCCTCTGCTCAGATGGGCTCCCCAGTTCTGCTGGCTCTTGACCTTGTACTGGTCCATCTGGAACAAGGTTTCACATACGAGCGCTCTGTGGGTCCAAGACCTCTGGGTCCAGCACCGGCTGAGTAAAGGAGCAATCTTCCGGCTCTCTGGATCATTCTTAATAAGCCAGGAGCTTCCTTTTAGAAACATAACATACGGTCTCCAAACACCCAGAGTAGCCCACTCCACGTTCATTGGAAGCTGAGGAAAGGGAGGAACAGCAGCTAAAGAATTGCCACCTCCTTCCTCCCAGGATTAGGGCACCAGGCTGGAGGCCTACACAGCCCTGTGACTAGGCTCCGTTTTTACGGAGGTGGAAAACACACGAATGCTAGAATTGAGACTCAAACTCAAGTACATGCCAAAGGGGATTTTAATGAATCCATAAATA